GGGAACTTCCTGGCAGAGTTGCACAGTCAATCGTACGCCGACGTACGGCAACGGTGAATGCTTGCTTGTGTGTGTGTGTGTGTTAGTATACCTTAATACGTATATGCATTTAATGTTTGAACGCATTAGATACGTATGCAAACTGACAGTAGCGACTGACTTCTGTTTTTCTGTTCTGTTGTTGAACTTCTGATAGGTTGTTTGCTTTCCTTCCATCGTACATATGTCTGCAGTTGAGGAGGTGGTTGTCTGGCTTCGTGTTTCAAAAGTGTGTGATGTTTGTTATTTACGCTCTTCTTGTTATCATTTATTTCGTTCTATTTCTTTTTCTGTCTCTCTTTCTCCTTGATATAAATAAATATATATATATATATATATATATATATATATATATACGATCTGGCACCGTCTATGCTTATCATATATGATATTGTGGGCCATTCACACAATGCCTGTACACAAACATAACATTTGTTTGCAGTTCTCATTATCTAACTTAATATCTGCTGCCCACTCTTGATTCATAAATTGCATGTACGTGCGTCTGTCTGCATTTCTTTATAAGCCTTTGTCATATTTGCAACTTTTTTACTGTCAAATAGTTTGTGATCTTCGTAGTCCATCCCTATAATTGTTAGGATATCCCCTCGCTTTTACTATTCAACGCTCAATTTCCATTTGCCATAATATAGTTAATCTTTACATTTTACCCATGCCTTGTACACGTAGCTAGGGCAGCAACAAGAACCATTTGAAGAGACGCTTTATTATTATATTACTTAAATATGTTAATTTGTGTAACGTTACGATGTTACGATCTAATGTGTTATGATTAAACGCCCGTCCGCTTTAAGCTTTTGTTAGCAGCTGCTACTACTGTAACCGACAACGTATGCATATATATGCGCTTTAAGAAGAATTTCACATTATACTTCGAAATACGTCGTTGTTTTTTGTCTGGGGAAATAAAAATATTTTAAACAATCTTTATATTTTCTCCACTCATCTCTTATACGATATTTATAAATACATATCCATATGTATATAATGTTACATGTTCATTAATTTCAGTTTCAGTTCTCAATATTTCGACTTTGAACAAAGATGTTTTCCAACAGCATGCCTTACTCATCCCATGTTTATAATGACCTTAATACATCCTTGAGTGGCGAAGACAGTGGCGACTCTTCGTATGGACCAGATCCCGCACTTCATATTTACAATGAAGTACAATATACGGTGCAACAACAACAACAACAACAGCAGCAGCAGCAGCAACAACAATTGCCGCTACGACAATTTGCAATGAATAGTTCAGCCATTACTATACAAAATCAACAGAATAATAATCCAACAACTGGTATAATTTATGGCTTTCGCACACGCCATCTTTCGTGCATAGAAGAAAACGATTCGGATTCATTGCATTCCACGTCAATGCCGAGACCTGCTTTCGACGTCATGAAAGATGTTGATGAGAAATTTAAAAGATTAGCAAACGATAACGTCGACGACGCAACTGTTGACGATGACGTTGATAATGTTGATGTTGATAGCATGGTCCTGATCGATGAATCACGCTTATATGATTTGAATTATTTAAATGAATTGAGCAAAGCTGAAATGCGTGGCGCTTACAATGCGATGGAAAGTGAGCAAGGCATCGTCATGCATGCATATGAAAGCGAAACGTTGTGGCAAAGCATGAATTCGCAGCATTCGAACGACGGATGCCATACCACGAATGTTATGCCCGATATTATGACGACATCCTGCTATGGAACGTTGAATAATTCGTATGGTAGCGAAATATCTGAACCGCATTCGGAACAAAGTACGACCATTTTTAAGCAATCCACACCTAAAAAGCAAGAACCCATTTATGCTACGCCCGAAAAAAGACGAGATTGCAATCGTAGTTTTGATTCTTCTTGCCCATCATATTCGAGTTCTTTAGGTGGCGGAGCAGGTTCTCTGACGTCATCCCTAGATCTAAAATGGGCGAACTTATCGGCAAACGTGGATGCCTTTCACGGCTCCATCGAAAATCACACCGAGATTTTCTGCAATTCCATGGATGACTTAAAAACCGATTGGAATTCAAGCGGCGGCATTATATCACAAGCAGAAGAAGTTACTGAAGAGGCAGTCATAAAATGTATAACTGCTGCCGAAAATGGTGAGTACAACATACTCTTATACAAGTCTTACTAAAGCTTAGTAATCTTCGAGCTCATTTCGAGCTCCCCTAACCTATAGGGAAAATAAAAAGGGCAAACTAAAAATTGCTCTCTTAGCTCAGTTTGTTTCCCTTTCTCAAAATGTCCGCTTAATCCACCTGATGATAATCCAAATTTTATCTAAATAAAATCGTAAACTCTCTAGAAAACTAGAGGCATCTTATTTTTGTCTCATACTAAAAAACAGGAATTATTTGGAAATTATTTCCAATAGAATAATGGCCGCAACTACTGAATATATGTATTTGCTTGAGATCTTTTCGCTGTTGTAAGAACAGGACTCGGTCGATCGATTTCATAGAAACAGTGATTATCCATTTAAGCCTTTTTTTTTTTGCGCTTTTCAATAACTTCTTGCTCCGATACATGTTGCAGATTGCAAACGTAGATCAGCAGGTTCCGGTTTAATCTATATTACATATATATACATTTCTTTACGCGGATAGAAAGGGCCCGGGTATAGCGAGCCAGTGCCTTGAACTATATCTTGCTGATTTCTAATGCACCTAAGTCTGTCCCGGAGCGTAATACGCCGAGCATCTCACTTGTTTGTGCTGTGCCCATGTCGATAAATACAATAAGAAAATCTTGGACGTGCTACAATACTGTTATGGTATTTCAAACTAGGCAAGTGGCACACACGAAAAAAAAAGCAAATTCACAATAGTAAAATATTTCGTAATGCGGGTATTTTAGATTTTTCGAACAATATTCGAAAGAGAAACTGGTCCTTGTTTTGAAACTCTGCCCTCTTTTGGTGGCAAAAAATTTGAAACAACGTAACTCTGAGCCGATAAATAAGTTTTCTTGCGTAATCTTCTGATGCAAAGGTGGTGGATTTTCTGCTGACTTTCTATTATTGTTGCGAAATGTTGTGTGTTAACAACAAAGATCATCTTTTGTACTCTTGCTGCTCTTCTTACACTTACTCGGGAAACTTAACCCTAAACTTGCTTTTTTCATTTATTTTTTTATATACTTGCTACTAAAGGCTGGGTGTATAGTAAGCAGTGTTCTCATTCGGTTTATAACATATTCGTGGATACACACGCCTGCAATAATAAAAAAAACTATTTATTTTATATATGTATTTGAAAAGATATCTGGTCTGAATTTAGACGACAAACTAAAAATATTACTCGAAGCGAAACTCAATCAACTCATCATACATTACATGGTGTAAGTGAATTATTTTTCCTTACATCGCGTGTTTACGGATGTTCTAATATTGGGTTTAAAATCCAGCAGAAATCTTAAATGAATATTATGTTCGATAATGTAGATAGATAGTCCTACTGCAAGGGGCTTTCGGGTTTCGAAATTCAGCGATAGTTCAAGGATTCGCCTAAATGAGATATGAAAGATGACAATAGCACGACAAAGTCAAATCCACGTTTTTATGCCCAAAATCGCAATCACATCGATTACACTAAGAAGGAATAGATCGGATGTGAAGTTCAGCCATAAGGTGACAGGAGTCCAAGATGTTGTTTGTCGGAAGTAATCCGATCCGTTTCAGTTGTTTTCTTGGCAAAGTGGGCAATCACATCACTTTACGCTCACAATCTTTATCGTGGGACTTTGAAGTTAAAAGAAAGTTCAAGAAGAAAAGATACATTTCGTATCTAAGCTTGTGTTTGCCAATTCGTACTATTTCGTTCGAGTCCTTAGCTTTTTCGTTTGGTTAACGTCTGCGTATTTTTTTTTTTTTTTTTTTCAGGAGAAAAAGTTGAGGGATGTGCCTCCGTGCCTTAGTTACAAACGTTACTGACTTTCCTATCTAAACTTTTCCTGTTGCCCCAATAAACTTTGATTTATGTCTTACGAAAGCTTCCACTTTCTTAAACTTATGACTGTGTTTAGCATTAATAGGTGTCGTAACTTAACGCTTACTCATTAACCTAATTTGAAATGTTAAATTTGAATATTATATGACCTTTGCATTAAATACGTGTACTGTGTGCAAAATGTCAAGATCGTGGTACAAACTCTTCTTGTTCCTGTTTCTAGTATGCGATCAAATTTGAATAGAAAGTGGATGCTTGCAGCGCTGATGCAGTCCGTACAAACTATATATATATATATATATATATATATATATCTACGTATGTATATATATGTTTATGTATATATATACATATATATTCTATGGCCGCATATAATACTCAAGCAACTATAATCAGCTAAAGTATAATACTTTCCTACGTAAAGAGCGCTTTGCATATCCCATCCCTATGTCCAACTAAGTTTGTCCCCGAAATACGATGAATAATATTTTGTTAAATTCTTCAATCTGTTTAGATTGTTTTATTAAAAAGACGAGACATGAGATTCGATTCACCTTTTGTTTTCGTTTCTTTTATAACGATTGTAGTACATTTGCCGCATAAAAAGAAATCGGGAACGTTTTCGCCAGAGGATCGATGAGAGTCGGAGAGTATGAATAAATAAGAAATAGATAAGCGCTGCATCAGTGACACATTTGCTCAGCTTTTACTTAAACACACATTAACCGTTATAGATACAAAGTCTACACACTGAAGTGGTTAGCGTTTTAATATTCTCTTGTTTAAATTTCTTAACAACAACATGACTGTTGCTGTTATTACATTATTTGTTAAATATTAACTTTGTTCATATGCTTCTAGTGGTCGTCCAAAAAACAATTCTATGAGGCTGTGGTAGCGGCTACTGTCGTTGCTTCTTTTACAACTTGGCTCCTTCTATCTCTTTATGGATGACGTTTGCCATGCTTGACTCAGTTTTTGCTGTTACTTGTCGTATGTGTTTAAATATTTGTTATTTCGTTCGTTCGTTCGTTCGTTCGTTCGTTCGTTCGTTCGTTCATTGTTTAGGAAGTCTGGTTTATTCTTGTGGTCGATTTAGCTGTCATTTATAAGTAAAACCGATTCATTTCTTTAAGACGATTATTGCATCGAGCTATCCTATAAAGATACATATGTTTTATATATATGAACGTATGTATGTGTGTATACTTTAAAATCGATCCTATAGTACTTTTCTATCTGCATGCGCTTTCCCACACAATCGGCGCGCAATTATATCATTCATTGCTAAAGATTAACGCGGTTATTGTGATTGTAACGTATGTGCTAATGCTGCTGTTGTCGCTGCTGCAATTGATAATGATGACGATGATGGAGTTTTACTAAGTCAGACTTTGACGGCTGTAAGAGTTGATTATGGTCTGCGTTTTAGGTGTGTAAGATATGAAAGAGGTCTGTGTCGCATCCATAGCAATGGCAACAGCGGAACGCTTTTGCAAGGCGTCTCAAATGTATCTGAAAGGCTTTAAGATAAAATTGTTATACATTGTGTTGTTATTGTTGTTGTTGTTATTATTATTATTATTGAAAGACATACAACTCAGGCAAAATGTACCGTAGTGCGCTTACTGTATACACATATTACTAGTGCTGCTGCTGCTGCTGCTGCTGATGCTGTTGTTGTCTCGATTCAATTTCACATCCACACGTTTTGCAGTAAGCTGAAGAGACAGGCATGCAGGCATGCAGGCATGCAGGCAGGCAGGCAGCCAGCCAGCCAGCCAGCCAGCCAGTCAGCTAAACAGCCAACCAGCTAGCAAGGTAGTCAAGCACCCAGTCAGCCAAAGCATTTCGTTTCACTTGAAGTCCCTAAAGCAACAGGTCTGCCTCTGACTGTCTGCATCTACATCTCTCCATTGTTCGCTATACACAGACAATAAACTTTAAATTGTCTACACAATATATAAACATGAACAACTCATATCGGTATCTATGCGAATGTCGTTATTATCGTATTAATATGTTAAATGTTTCGTATTTTTTCCTTTTTGTTTTTCTCTTTATTTCTTGTGCACAAGTGATTCATGACTTTTCACTTTTGTTTCTCTCGTTTATTTGCATTTGCACGTGAGGTTCATGTTTACCTTTTAAATTTTATGACACCCACTGAATCAATGTATTTTGAACGCGTTTAAGACGATTTACCTGTGCTATCGTGGCTCTTGTACGTACGTATGTATGAATATGTATGCATGCATCTATGTAAATTTAATGTTTAAATATTTGCTTCTCTTTTTTTGCATTTCTTTGTTCTCTGTGAGAACATTTTTTTTTTTTTTTTTTTTTTTTTTTTTGTGTTTTTCTTTTGCTTTAGGCCGAATCTACAGCATTCTTTATATCTAAAGTTTGCATAAATTTTTTCCTTGAAATTAGGAAATTTTATGCAACGATTACGAACTTTAATATCGTCTTTTAACATTCGTTACCCATTTTGCTTAAAATTTAACATTTGTAAATTTAACTTTGGATTGGAGCCGTATGAAAAGAATTCCAATCTTACAATTACTATATTATAATGCAGTCTTATAAATGACGTGAAAAAGTTGGGTGAAAATCAGGAAATTGTGAGAAAAAAATAAGTAAAATATATAGAAAACATTGAACCCCTTTTTGTTTTTAACCTTTCTCTGATCATCGAATTGTTTGGTTATTTAAAAAGAGACAGAGTCAATTACCTGACAGGTAAATGCCGACAGATTTTTAAAAAAATTTTTCAAAAATTAAAAACGTATTCAACGAAGATAAGAAAGAAGAACAATAGAAGGCTTGGTATACATATACATATATATATATATATATATATATCTATATCTTTGGCTTTGTTATAAATAATAGCTTTGTACTTTGTCTTTTGTGTTTATGAATTGCTTCGTGGTAATTAAGACGAACTTGCTTCCTTTGAAAGACCTCGGAGTTTCAGTTTAATAATTTCAACAACGCAATAACTTTTTTAGGTTTGATGATGAGTTCTTGGAACGAACCAGTCTAATGATCAGTCTATGAACAAAGTCATACGGCAGACCACTTTCGAAATTTTTCGCGACCGATAACAACTGCTGCTGCTAGTAACCTCGTTTACACGTTAGACTGCAAAAATTTTAGATAACTTGGACAACAACAAATTATATTTGAAATTTATTACGGATCGTATTTACAAGCAGTTACTTCAAAATACTGCCAGACAATGTTTTAAATAACGATTTTCTCAGACTGATGTGAGTAATGTAACATTAACTCCTGAGGAAGCGGCCGAAATCGCTTTGTGTACTTTCTGTAAATAGAGCGGGATGGACGCTTTCGCTAATTCACGTTTGAATCAAAAATTCATTTTTACAGATCGTATACTACGAGCCTGATTAGCTGACAATATTTTAAGTTTACATAGTTTTTTACATACACGTATACTTAAAATTCGCGATCATGAATATTAAGGAAATTAGCGTGCGTAAGCTTATGTAGATGCACACATACTTGAAAGTGCAGTAAAGTGAAAGCTTACAAAAAACTTGGAGAAAACGTGTAAAAGATTCGAATAACAAGAGGAGGCGAAATATTTTTTCAACTTAAAAAGGTAAAGATGATAATCCATACGGGTGTAAATAGAGAACAAGATTTAGGTGAACGCGCACAAAGGCTGCGAAAGTGATCGGCGCCGTTAAGAAGACATGAGAAGAAGCAGCTAACTCATTGAATCAACAGTGCATTGGCATTCCCTTTGTTGAAGAATGTGAATAGGAGGACAAAACATGATATTCTATACTATTTCTGCTGAGAAAGGTTCGATTGCTAATCATGCTGCGTTTATATCGCACTACTTGAACGGAACCGATTGTGGGGCACCGCCAGGGTACATAGTACTACGCACTTACTAAAATTAAGATTAAAATAAGCGTTATGCAGACTGAAAGCGTATATATTTTCATCTGTTACTTGCCACCAAGCAATGATTGATTTTCTAACAAACACACTGTATGCTTAGGCATAAAGCCTTTGATAATTTAAATGCGTTCAGACTCTGCTCTGAGTCCTTTGAAGAGAACGCGGTAGTATTAAAGATTGACATCACGTATGTCGGCAGCTAATTGAAAGGATATGCCTAGCGCTTGGAAGTTTATGAGTTCGTAGTAGTCACAGCTATATCACCGTGACAGGATTGGTTTCCGAATGTAAGCGGTGGTTTCCGAATGTAAGAATACGTCCAGTTTTTCCAAGCCAAATATTTATTTTATATTATCTCATTTCATATATTTTATGCAATGTTATCTAATATGCATTTGATTAATCTATTATCTGCAATTTTCATCCTTGACGACGCAATAATATTGGATATGGCAGCAGCGTATGATGCACCATAATAAAAAATTTATATTTATTTAATATCAAGGCCATAAGCCTGCTTACTAGCGAAAAATTGAAATCGCTGACATCGGAGAGCAATACTTAGTAGCAGTGCGCAAGCAATAACGGCATGTTGACGCATTACGCATTATTACGGATATGTCGAAGCGCTTAGAGTCCTTAAAAAGCCTATTAAAAAATACTATTAGAAAAAAAAAAAAAAAAATACATTTAGGTTTTAAAGAGCATTGTTGTCTTGCAGCAAAGCCATCTATTTGGGGAGAAAGGTGGCAAAATGCAAGACATGTTAAAGCTTAATCGTTTCAAAACGAACATGCCAAAAAATTCTCAATCTATAGAAATGGCAGAGTAAACATGAAACATGAAATATATATAGAAGTACCTCGACCAACCAATGATGATGGAAAGCCCATTACAGCAGAGCAATTAATTGCCGCCATGAATAAGTTAAATTTTCACTGAAAATGAAAATGTTATAACCAAACAAGGCCGACTAATAAAAACTGTACACAGTCTCAATACAAACGTTCGCGTATATTCGTTAATGCCGTGTTATGGCTTACTTCTCATAAAAGCGCTTATATGGGAAACTTTGGAAAGATAGACCAACGTCCCACTATCTTAATGCAGTAAATTAATGATCGATAGGTATGAGTGACAGCGATTTTCATTTATGCCAGGCAATAACTGAGCACGGATCCATGCATAATTGTGCAGAGAGATTTGACACAAAATCGTTAGATTTAATTTTTCCAATTTGACCGATTTGTATTGCTTTTTGACGTTCCACCACCAATTTTCAAACTTTCGCGCAATTATTAAAAACATAGTGACTGCGGGAAATCTGTCCAAGAACATTGGCTAATATAGTATGCTGATCTGCATGAAAGTGTGGAACTGCGCGCAAAATGTCCGTGAAATACGAAGCGAAAAATGTGAGCACAACGTCAAACAAAGCAATACGTCATGACGAATAGTTTGACCTATACTCAAGACATTTGGTTGCTCGAGAAGACACCCGTTATAACTAAGTTTTACTAGATTAATATTCCATATTAGCTTAGGCTTTTAATGCATCTCCTCGTAATAAAAAAACTAAATCAATTCTACAAAATTGAAAGAAAACATTTTTTGAAAATATATTCTCTACTTTCCTTGAAAATGCATATGGTGCATAATGGGTAGTGGGATGAATACACATGAGCATTTATCACTGACCATAAATTGCGTCACTTTCTGATTCCCATAAAAAGAATTGATAAGATACACTGTGTAAATATGATGACAAACAAAACACATAACTAAATATATAAAATTTGTAGACTATGTAATGCAGTTCGCATGATTATTCTATTGATTTTTACCTGCAATCCACCTCAAGTATGAATGAATTAATGTGAATTTGTCAAGAGATCGTCTCTAATAGATAATATAAGAGAGCAAAACTATGAAAATACTTGATTTTCTCCTTGAATTCCATCTTTAATATAACTTCTGTGGATGGTAAACATTGAATAAAAGAAAGAGAGTGAATGTGAGCGATATTGCTGTTCTACTTTAAGTCGCTCTTACGAAATTTCGCTAGCATTATCAGAGCATTCAGAGCAGAGACAACGAAATACGTAGATCTTCCAAGATTTTATTTAAAATTGACATTAGGAGATTCTTAGGGACTACTTGTGTATCTGTTATCGACAACAGTAGTAATGCTGTTAATTAACAGCGACTTACTCTTTTGCTTTCTCTTTCATTCTCGTTCCTTGTATTGATGCGGACTCTGTTAATAGTTTCTTGATATGATATCGGATTCTTTCAACTGCTCCAGAGCAATACCATACACAATTCTGTGTTTAAGGAACGTTAAACGTTATAAAATTAATGAAAAAAGTTTTTCGGGAATTTTCGCGCCAGTCCATAACTGAAAAGAAATCAAAATTATTAAAAGCACAGATGTATTTGAAAGGCCTCGCTGTTAAAAATAAAAAACATCTGAAGCTTTTATAATGGCAACAGCATCCATGATAAATCTTGTAAAGATTTTGTTTCTTTTAATATATATGGAGAGATAATTTTGATTGTTCCCGGAAAATTAAACTAGGATAGCTTGGGAAATTTTTTCTTGGTTGTGAAATAACGCACGATCGTCAGTGTAAGAAATAAATTGATGAACCTTTGTTCACGGCGAAAATTTTTAATGCATAGGCAACAATGGCATGTTTTTATATTAGATTACGGATTGACGACAAGAAACAAGATAAATGACAAGAAAAGAAGGGCTTATGGACGTATAATCATTAAAAGCAAATTACCAATTAAATAATCAGGACGTCGGTGATGATACTCATATAGAAGAAATCGACTTTGATAGTGACTGTCATAATGAAGCAGTCACATCCGAAATGTTTACAACGCCACAATCGGAAGAACAGAAAAAGAAGTACTCTTTAGGATATATCCTATATGCAGACATCTTAAACCTTAAGCGAGATTTTACGTATAGTCTGCGCGATATCATCATACAATAGAAAAATTATAGCCGGGAAACGCCATATCTGTAAAATGCAGCAGAGAATATTGTTAAATTAGTTATTAGGGAAAAAACGAACGATTGGTTGCGACGAGCGATGACTACAGCAACCATTGACGGCACTTATTGGTCTTTATATTAACAGTCTTATTTGAAATTCTCGGCCCGACAGCCGACATGCCGATTTAGAGTATACTAATCGAAACAAATAAAAAATCGCTCAAATTTCATAAGCTAAGATTAATAACTAGTTTTCAATATTTTATTCATTTCTTTACTTGTTTAATTCTGGAATATAAACAATATATATATAATAATACATTATGAGTACACGCCTTGTTGAATAACTCATTAGTGATATGGAAAAGTGAAGCAACTATAACATATGTAAACGACGATGTGCAAGCAAATAAAATCGATAAATATATAAATAAAATAAGCAAATTAGAAAAGTATAAATATAATAAACCACGAAATACTATTCTCGTTGATTTAGCCAGAGAAAAAAATTCGAAGACTATCGTTTCAAAGCGCTAAGGCTTTGTTGAAATTCTTGCCGCACTTGAGATTTGAACCAAAGACCAATGAATTGTTAATCGACATCCTCAGACAACATAACACTCGACCGCTCAGACAACATAACTTTTTTAATAACAAAGAGGTTCTTCATATTTCTTGATATGAAAATTTTCATCGAAATTTGTCAAGGCATTCGGCGAACATAAAATTTAGAATTCTTCAATTCTTCAAAATAGACGATGAAAAGAAAACAAAATAAGTTTGCGACATACAAACCTGCTGTTTGATCTTTTTTCATACATGCACACTTACATGCGTATCATAGCCCAAATTCGTTTAAAAGCCGAGAATTGTGTACGGTTACTGAAATCCGTACGAATACAAACAATGGGAATGGAAGAGCAAACATACAAATGGCTGTTATTTAACAACGTTACTACTATTGTTGATAACAAATGTACAAACAGTCCCTGAGATTCTCCTAATCTCAATTTTGTACAAAATTTTGAAACATTTACGCATTTAGTTGTCTCTGATATATATCTAAACATTTTCTAGCCTTTTTTTCTCTTGCTTTGAGAGCAATTTCTTTGATTTCTTCGTTGCACTGTTCACACGGCATTTTGTTATTGTACAATTTTGTATTATTCGTGCCTCACAAAGAGAGAAACAAACAGAGAGCGAATCACATCAGAGATAACAAACTGACAAGATTGATCAAAATCTAATACAAAATTCAAACTAGGAGATTATTATGCAGTTTCTATCAATATCCCCTAGTAAGACCGCTAATCACCAGCCATTTGACTGCTTACTTTTTCATTCTCATTATTTGTATGGGATAAATTCTGTTAGTAGTTTCTTCGTATAACGTCACATTCTCTCAAACGTTGGCAAGTCAGAAACTTGTACAATTCTATGTTATTAAGCGAATAAGCCCTATATTATATTTACAAGGTTGTATGCTCGAAAAATCCAAACAGTAGATAGGTAAAAAATATGATTTTTTCTCTTTTCACAGTTTACTTGGTATTGAAGAATTGTAAATTTTATGTACATCAATTGCTTCAATATAATTCAATGAAAATATTTTATGAAGCAATATGAAGATATCCAGAATATTCTAGAATATATTTTATTGAGTCAGTCTTACGAAATAAGCGGATAATGCGCCGTGTTCAATACTTTATGTCATGTGGAAAATTGCCCAAATATGCCATATGTAGGTTTAAGCAAGTAAAATTAATAAATATAAATAAATAATAAGCAAATTAGATAAGTATAGATTATCCCTACAATATGATTTTTTTTAATGATAAAAATGTTGTCTAAATTCCTTGATATGAAAATATTCATTAAAATTTATTAAAGCAATTAGCGAACAAAAAGTCTAGAAATTTTCAATACCAAATATACGATGAGAGGAAAGCAAATCATATTTTCTACTTATCTGTTTGCATTGTTCGTATATACCATAAGCGATATTAAAAGAATTGCTTATGTTTTTGCTTTGCAAATGTTTGAGGGATTGCAACCTAATATCAAAATATTATTAACATAATCTTTGCCCCGACAAATAATTAAAATGAAAGAGCCAGAAGTCAAGATGGTGCTATTTAACAGCGTTACTACTTGCGTGTAGATAACAGAAACAGAACAAGGGCATAATAATCTTCTAATTTCAATTTTAAATAATATCTTGAGCCATCTTGTCATTTAATTGTCTCTGGAAGAAGATTGTTGCCGTTGTATTCTCTAAAAAGACTTGTGCATAAACAAAATTTTTACTCTCACAAAAGACTTCTATATCAAGAGAGGCATGCATCAAAAACCTTTCATTCTCAAAAAAAAAAAAAACACTTTTTTCTCTCAAAACCGGGTACCATAAGAACCACACAGCAAAGAAAATTTTATAAATTTTACTCTCATAAAGACAAAGTTTTAAATAACAAAAAACACATACATACCTTCATATATTTTGAATATTTTGATGCCTTTTCCTTCTCCCAGCCTTTTATTTAGTATTTAGTTTTTGATTGAGAGAGTTGTAAAAATTTCTTATCGCATGGGATTAATAATAAATGAAATAAATAAACAAAAAAAATCTCCTTAAACGATAAGGACGTGTAAATTTCTTGTCGCGAGAGCTTGTGCGAGATAATATATACGTAAACATATTGGATATAAAACGTATGAAATGTGTGTTTCTCCGATTTGTTGACGAAATATCATTACATTAGATACTTTGTGTGTTAGTAGCAAAGTAGTACATGACAAAGACATGTGCTTCTAAATTTCTAATATAAATAATATGAAGAAAGCATTAAAAGATCACAACAATTAATTTACATTAAAACAAAGAAAAGTTATTTATGAATTAATGAATACCTATTTTTATATGAGTATTTCGATAACTCCATAGCAAAAAAAAAAAAAAAAACGCAAAAGCAAAAATAATAAATAAATAAAGAAAGATGTACGGCGGCTGCAACACATCCTAATATATTTTAAAAAGTAATCCCTTCCGAGAAAGAAAGAAAGAAAATACATCATAGATTGCAGAAGTGTTTTACCTTTTTTTTTTTCTTTGATAATTGCAGGCGATCTAATTATCAATTAAAACTTCTAAAATGTTGTAGAACAAAACGAGATGATTATCGTCTGTTTTTTTTTTTTTTTGCTCAGATGAACGGAATTATGACCACGACCTAAGTCAGGTTTATGCTTCTAAAATAAACCTTTATAACCTTTCGGGAAAGGAAATTTATCAATTTCTTGATGTCTGTTAGTAGTAGGTTCATTTATCGTTTGGCGTTTACCGTCGAGAGGAAGATTAATAAATTTTGAGGCGAAGTTTGTTCATCTAGGCTTAAGCCTTTTAATTATGATTTCAAGAGATGAATCAGTGGAACGGACCGGAAAAGCTAATTTCATTCAAAAAAGCAAAAGCAAATATACATGATGGAGCTGCTTACTGTGCATATGTCAATGTGTAGCAAAAATTTGGTAAATCATGGTGCATTCTCTGTGATAATATTTTGTTTTGTTTTATTTTTATTTTTTTATTTTTTTTTTATTATTCTTGTGTTCTTATGAAGACAATGTAAATTTTAACGAAAAAAACATAGTTCGCATATAGAGTCAACAAGTAGAGTGAAAAGTTATGAGTTTAAACACAAATACAACTTATTAAAGCGAGTCAGTGTCCTCTGCGAGCAAACTTTACCATTATATATAATTGGTTTAAATAATTAATGTATAATAAGCCTTCATTAAGAATAAACTTAAACATTCCAACTATTAAGAATGAATTATTGTCTACATCATAATTAGTTAAAGCGCGCTTAATACGCACAAATGCAATTTTAGCGAATCGTTGCGAAAATAATGAAGGAAATAAAAACAAACAAATAAAAAAAAATTCTAAACTTTAAATGTGTGTTCGCTCCATAAATGTTCAAATTTAAACAAACTAATTGAATTTTTATTTTTTTTATCCTTTACCTTAACTGTTTCTATTTGATTTGGTTTTTCTCACCGTTGTGCGTTGATGTGTTATTCTCGATCAAAAAAAAAAAAAAAATTAAAAAAATTAAAAAAATAGAAAACATTAATTGAAAATAAATTATGAAATTAAAATACAATAACATATCTAGGTAGCAGTGATTGCGATTGTAAACATGGCCTAAATAAAGAACAAGTTTAAGCTTAAACATCGTAATAACGGTAAAACAGTGAGCAATATACTTATGTAGCGATAAATATGTACATAATATGTGTGTGAGGCTCATTTTGTTCGCGCACACTATAAAATCCCTTAAAAACGTATCTATATATATATAACGTATATATATATATATATATATATATATATTATCATATAACGAAAAGTATTACAATATAAGAATATGTTTGCTTCTTCTTCTTCTTTTTTCTTCTTGTTCTTCTTTTTTGCAAAACACAAGTGCATGTGTTGTTGATTGTTATATCGGTAAACGTAAGAAAATGAAGCGAAAAAGAAGCAAATGTGTATAAGAGTTTCTTGTTCTTAGTTCATGCTTAAAAGTTGTCAGTATAAAAAGCTATTAAAACTGCTCGCATATTTCATCGTATTTCATCACGATTAAAAACAAACCCGCTTTTGAACATTCCATATGTATGAGTTAATAAAAATTTACTAAATTTAAATGTTGACAATCTGAAGGAGTAACTCTACACTTAACAATGGTACAGACTCACTAACTCATTAGATTATAAAACTATAATCATCTTTTAAAGTACCGGTTATCGAATTTGAATTTTAGTTTATTCAATACCTAACGCGAAGGTATGCTTTTGGCCTATTTATGCTTTTCGATCAAAACTAACTCTCCATGTCTTTGTTTTTTTTTTTTTTTTAATTAATATCGGAACATGCTCTTCATCTCTTATCAAAATTACTTTTCGCCAATATTATGTTACCGTAAGAAATTGCCAAATAAATATTAGACGAGACAAACTATTTGGCCAATATATGAAATTTATTCATTTCAATTCAATTATCTCTTGGTTAAGCAAACAAATTGGTTTTTTTTTTTTTTTTTTTGGATCAATAAATTATGAGTTTTAAGCAATTCGGGTTTCGAGTCACGAACAATTCATTGATATTTCCTCAATTAACAAAAATTATCTAAAACGGTGTGTGGTGCTCAAGATTAATTCAAATAATAATGTTCTTACCTTTGCAATCTGCTCAATTATTTTATTAATTTAATCTATTTTAATAAATCACTCCTCAGGCTTTTTACAAAAATCAAAATTTTTCAAAAAAAAAAAAAAAAAAAAAAAAAATAGATAGAAATTAATTAAACATAACTCATACATAAACATTTTGTTTTCATAACAATTCATATAATTCGTTTATCAATTCGCTGCCAAATCCAATATCACTTAAGGCATCCCAGTTGATAAATTTTTATTACTTAATAACTGCTGAGCGAGTTATGTGTAATATGATTGTTCTCACACTCGTAATAAGATCGACTTTAGAATTTTAATGAACTTTTAACACAAAAAACTATCAACACATAAATAAACACACATAAATATTTGTATGCCAAAACGATATATGAGATTATTTAAGACATATTTTTTGTTGCTATTGCTGTTGCTTTTGTTGTTCCATTCAGTATTTAACTCAGCAGAATTTTAATGCAATACTTGCAATTATGCAACAGAAAGACATCGTTAAAATGTGAAATGTGTGTAAATGTAATTTTGCGCAAAAGCAAAGCCAAAGCAAAGCCAACGCAATAGCATTTTTGTTCAAATGAGAAATTTTTAATAAACCTGCGTGCGCATCATCATATGAAGCGAATAGATGTTTCAATAAAATGTTCATCGCGCAATTACGGCATATAACATACGATATGGTATATCGGATATGGTTCAGTATGTACGCGCTACTAAAATAGACCAAAAATTCTCATGTCCATCCGAATTTTATCCCAAGTATCCCAAGTGAGCGTTACAAGTGACATGACAAATTTAATACATCGTGGGTAGTAGCTAGACTCGATTTGCCCTTGACATCATCAATTATTCCAATGATAAATTTTTCTAAACATTTTTGCTCTTCCCCGGGGCTATGCGGGCACAGTGAAATCTAGTTATTAATCTCGTGATTAGTCAGTTTAGTTTCAATATAAATAATTTTCCAATATTACACTCCTATCTCAAGCTAACTAGCTCATCAACCAATTGCAGAATAAGCAAATCGATCAAAAAGATTCTTTTGTTGAAAACTTTTTTAAAATATGAAATGCTAAGGATAAGTCGTTTCAGTTTTTTTTATTTTTTTTTTTTTATTAAAAATCCCTGAGAATGGGTTCAACGCAATTTAACTTAACCCAACTTAGTCCAAGGCCATCCTATAATTAATAGGTGAAACTATTAAAAGACGTGACTCTTGAGGTGCCTGGCGTATGATGTCTGGAAATTTAATGCGACGAAAGATTCAAAATTTGATACTGACACAAATGTTGTGACGTTCACTTTGGCCCATTTTCGCCCATCTTTATTCGGCCAATTTTCTTTTGTTTCATATTTCGTCAGTTTTCAAAGTTCAAAGCATTAAGAGAGTTTACTGAGTCTGTACCAAATATTTTTATATTCTAGTTTCATTAAAATGTGGTTCATTAAAAATATAATGTAAACTTTGGCGTGTACTCGCAAATATTTGTTAGGTTCAAGAAGTGAATAGAATCCACGAAATATTTTAGTTTGCATCAATTCACACATAGTCGGAAAAGGCAACAAATAAATTGCACTGCCGAAGGATGAGGGATATATAGAAAGGTTGACAACACCCACAAGGAGGTCTTAAAGACCCCATACAGTATATGTATTCTTGATCAGCGTAAAATTCTGAGCTAATTTAAACATGTCCGTCTCTTCGCCCCACCCGCCTAATGTCTGTAATAAAAAATCTTCTGGTCGCAAAAATGCAACTATCGGCTCCAAATTTGGCATAAACATCAGACATTTTTGTACGCAAATTGTTGCAACTGTACAACTACAATACAACATAATGTGAGGCCACGCCTGCACAGATTTGTTGCATGGGTTCCTGCCATGATGGCTTAACCCCAGGGTGGTCCAAGCCACTTTAAGCGTAATATACGCCCCCTGCCGATTTAGACAATCCCCACAGAGTAGGGGCCTAAGAAGCACCAGAGTCCAGAACAGTTTATTGCGTATGGATCAATAAACCCCACTCTGGTCAGTGGGGAGGCCTAGCTGCACTCGATTGTTCCACTTTGGCTTGGAACTGCCAACCACAACCACCACGAGTACTCCCCAAAGGGCCGCAACCAACAGTCAGAGCTCACAAATTGATCAACTCACAAGAATTCAAAAAGGGGAAAGAAAAATGCGCTTGCTTCCACCAGCCACGCCTGCACAGTATTATAGAAATTTAAAATTTCAATCTTTTATTAAAACGTTTACCGCCGCAGTGCCCAGCAAGAAGCTTCCAAGAACAAACGATAATGGGTATAACAGATTCTTATTTGTTTTTTTTTTTTTCAAGTCAGGCGATTTCTCAAAAAAAAAAAAAAAAAAAAATTTAAATTTTTGGATTACTTTTATTATATCTATCTGTTAACCACACTTAAAAAAAAAAGCCGCAAATAGTTAATAGTAAATTTCATCTCACGATTCAAGCCCTACAAGATCAGGTCATTTTTGAAGCAATGAAGTATTTCACGCGATGCCAAATCACTTACGGCTTAGACTGTAACTGTGTCCACGTATATGTCCATGTTTTTTCGACACAATGATAAGCCGAAAGTAGCCCGTCGTTAGACAAAGAGCGCAAATTGAAAACTAGACTAATGATGCGCTTTAATAACAAAGAAAAATAAGGAAATAAGTAAAAAAATTATATTCGGTTGCGGCCGAATCTTTTATGCCCATCACCGTTATCCTATAAACGATTGAAAGCAAGCAAACATATAAATTTGCATATTGTACAATATTGGGTGGGTGTGGCTGATTTTTTAAAACTCTTGTTGAATAATTTTGTGGAAAATTATATCGTGTATCTGTTATAGCTTATGAGTATTAAGCAAAAAAAACAATTTTTTATTCTTCTGAAAAACAGAGGTGTTCTCAGGTTACGTAGCATTTTCAATATCAACCAGAAGAATATTAACAACGGACATTACGTAGACGGACGGACAGGCAGGCATGGTGAGATCAATTTGGAATTTGATACTGATCAAGAGTATATGTACTATATATATATATATGCTTTGGGGCCTCTAATGCTTTTTCCTGGGCATTGCAAACGTTTTGACAGAATGAATTTACCTGTCATGCTTCGGTGATGAGTATAATAACAATAATAAAAATAATATAGAATTGATTTGTTGATTGAATGTCGTTGTTCCGTTCGATGGAACGAACATATATATATAGGGAATATAAAGAATTTTACATGAAATTTTGCCAATAAAAAAAAAATAAATGTAAATAAACCAGACAGATGCACATACATATTAACGTCTTTGTAAATCTTTTTATGTATGTGCGTAATGTATTGGTTTTGTATGTATTAAGCGCTTGTGTATTTAATGATTCTTGGAAGTTAATTATAATTATTTCCAAAAAGAAAAAAAAGAGATATAAAGAAATAAAAAGCACATACACAAACAAGCAATAACCATCATGTTTTGATCCTAATATATATATATATATATATATATATATATATATAACATAACGAACATAAAAGCATCCATCACATTCGCTACGTGGCCGATAAAATAAGAAGGAAATTATGCTCATGTGTGTGTTTAAGGAAACATTAAAGTAGACGAGAAATTGACAGCAAAAAAAAAAAAACAAATAAATAAATAAATAAATAAAATAAAATATAAAAGAAAAAAAAAATCAGCACATTTTCAATTGCTTGTTAAAGCGAAACGTAAACCGTCAACGTTCAAATACTAGCAACCGACCAGCATTCCGCGGGACAACAAGATAACATTCACCCAAATTGCCAAACCGTTCAAAACAATGACAACAACGAACAGATTCATTAACAAAAAAGTCGTTGTTCAAGTGTTACACAACATGTTAAAGAAATTTTTAAAAAATTCATCTTCAATTAACAACAACAACAACAACAATAACAAAAGCAATCCTTCTGATAGAAATTTTTGATTGCCGCGAAAAAACAAAAGAGAGAAAAAACGTTTGTTTATAATGCATTGGATATAAGAAAGAAAACTTATTGAATTTCATTCTATATATTGTGCCGCTTTTAAGTGTTGAAAAAGCTAACTAATAAAAAAAAAAGAAAATATATATACATATATATAAAAGATATATTATAGAAGAAAAAAAAAAAGAGTAGTTGGAGCGATTTCTGTTAATTTCAAGTTCAAAGTACAAAATGTTTTATGCCGTATTCGGACTTTGTATTTATCGCGTTTTACTCTTCTTCCATTAAAACCAAACAATACAAAACAAAACAAAACAAGTCAAAAAGAAAGAAGCAATTTGTTGTACACAGGCACACATACCGAACTCTCTACCGGTTTTAAGTGATCACCATTTAAACTCGAGAACAGCAGACAACAACTACTTTCCTGTTCAACATCACCGTCATCTCTTTTGTTATTATTATCAATATATGTATTATTTTTTTTCTATTCGCGTATGTCTGGCTGGTGATTCGATCGATTCATTTTAACATAAAAACCCTTTTGAATTGGATTTTTACTCAAGCAACATACATAACATACATAACATACAGCATCTTCAGTATAGAGCGTCAGAGCAACAGAGGAAAACCACAACATCATCGTTCACACCATTTGCAGCCATATGCGCGTTATCGTCGATAATCGTTGAGTTCTCTTCTTCACCTTGGAATATTTTTTTATATCTTTTCTTCTTCTTCTTCGTCATCTTCATCTTCTTTACAACAATTCACTTTACATGCTGCTTGCTTGGTTTGGCTTGAATGACTGACGTCCGATTATGTCCACAGTAAAAGATAAAATAAATTTTCAAAATACTTGGAGTTGTAATAAAACCACAGGTCGTCGTTCTGGAAGTGGATATAGTTGCAGTTTTTTAGGTAAAAAGCAAAAAAAAAAAACAAAAAAATCTTAATCATTTATGTACATATCTATATTATTGTTCTTATGTGATAAGTAATTTTTAAACAAATAATTAAAAGAAAACAAAAACTTTTTTAAACAATTCTTTTGTCACCACTATCACTATTCTTTATGACTAGGCTGGGTTTAGGTTAATTGAGATTGCTGATTAGTCCCCTCTTTAAGCAGAGGCGTACACTTTTCATGTACAACCGAACATTGTATCAAAAATAGACCATAGTGCATAAAGGTCCATCTTGTAGTATTCAGTGTAGCGAAGGCATATGAAAATAATAAAAAATATGTTCTTATCGCCCGAGAGATACCGGAAAATAAAGTAAGGGCACGATACGATTTAGTTTTAACACGAATTGAAAGTTAAGAAAAACACCGAAAACATCGCAACTTAGACGAATAGGAATGACTTGGTTGCCGCCAAATAAATAATTTGCTCGTTCCAAAACTTGGAAAAGGCTATCACTCACTTGACATAAAAGCAGTTGAAATTTATATAAAGAAAAGCAAACGGACTGCTAAGGGGGCATGTTAACTATTAACGGGTCCTAAGTAAAACGGTTTATTCAATAGAATATATATATATATATTTTTTAAATGTAAGGTATGACATTTGTTTTTCATATCTCGTCACACTGTGTAAATATGCAGTAACGATTCAAGCTCCCGTGCTATGCTTAACTTATGTTAGTTTATGAATCTCTTAAGTCTTATGCAATGAAAATCCTGAATAAACATATATCACTCAGAATATTGCGCAAATAACTGTTAATGAATTTTGAAAACCTAATATTCTTCTTAAATGTACACATTTTTATACCCATCACCAAAGGATGAGGGGTATATTCATTTTGTCAAAACGTTTGCAACGCCCGGAACGAACCATCAGAGACCCCATAAAGTGCATATATCCTTGATTAGTATCATATTCTAAATACATTCAAGCATGTCCGTCTGTCCGCCTGTCGTAAACATTCTCCTGGCCGCAAAAATAAAGCTACCGACTTCAAATTTGTGCAAATACATTGGCAGTTCTTGCATGCAACTGGGTATTGAAAATAGGCCAAATCGGTCGCAGGACAAGCTCACAGCCTTATATAAACTGAGAATACCTTTGTTTTTGAAAAGGAATGGAAAATTAGTTTATTGCTCATTACTCATAAACTATAACAAATGAGTCTGCTATAGCGATGCTATAGCGTTTGTCTACAAAAATTGAAAAAATTGACCTCGCCCACCCAATCTTATAGTGCATCAAAATTTAATTGTTGCTTGAATACGTGTATAACGCGTAGAAGCAAGCTTCAAAAGCCCCATAAAGTATGCAAATTCTTGGCCACTTTCCAAATTGGAATGTACCTAAACATGTCCGCTTGTTCGTCTGTCCATCTGTCTGTTTGCGTAATGTTGTAGTATTTGTGCTAAACATTCTCCCGTTAGCGAAAATGAAGATATCGCCTATAAATTTGTAGAAGAATTTGGATTTGATCTAAACTTTTCAAAAGACGCGCTCGCATGCCTCTACGAGAAAATTTTTTGTTTTGAAAATAGAGGAAATTAGCTGCGCCCACTCCATACTATAGAGTATGGAAATTTTCTTCGTTTACTTCTTTTGTCTTTTTGGGATAACGCTGATGGGTAAAAAAAATTCGCTCCCGACCGAATTTAATTTTCTTATTTTACTTTGTGCAATCAGCTTTTAATGAAATTCTTATAATTAAACTACGTGCGTACACGTGTCTCTGCGATGAAACGTAGAACAGATCATTAATCATAAAGAGTAAAGGATTTTAAGGATATACACAAACAATATAATAGCCTAAGAGAAGAGATTTTTCGTCAATTGTTTTTTTATTTTTTTCGCAAATAGAACATCAAGAGGGAGGCTTTTGGTTGCGCTCTACGCAGAACTCTCAGAATAAATTTCTTTTAGGAGGTGAAAAAAGCAATCTGACCAATAGTCAAAAAGGCGGGCTAATGTTTGTAAAAAGTTAACCTTGAAAATATAAAAAATGGAATTGATTATTTATTTTTTCTATGTAGCATATCAATCAGTAACCCTCCGATCTGACACATATTTGGCAACACTGTCGACAGATCCCTAATTTCCGGATAATAAATTGTGTTAAAATTTCACGACGTGTTGACAATTACTTTACAAATTGTAGTGGCAATACATTTGGAATTTTTGAAAGCAATGCGTTGATTAAATATTGAAAAAATACCATTCAGCCAATCAGCATTGGCCTGAAAAATATTGTAACGATTCTTGTCTATCGAAAAAACAGATTTGCTCATTCTAAGCAAAGTTGCATGAATACTAATCGCCCAAAACCGTCAGTTGTCCCGAAAAACGTAAAAAAAAAATCCACAAAATGGTTTTGGAAGACCGTAAAGTGAAGTTGTATGAGACATGAGGAGGCAGTGTTTTCACTACTTTGCATAAAAACTTACTTTTTAAGAAATCTCTCTGTTCAACAATGTTTTGATGGCTCAAAGCGATCTAAACGGATTTTTCAATCCGATATGTGTCAATGGATTAAACATGGAGCGCAGTAAAATTGGAATTCATCCGAGTGGGCAGTGGGCAGCAATCAAAAAAGTGGTATCACTAATACAATCGTAACTTGTAAACTGATGGTCGAAATCTTAGGAAATTCTGACACGTATCCTTTGAAGTCTGATGCTATCGAGATATCATGTAAATCTTTCAACAATGTTGTCATTGTATGTGTCAGACCGGAAGATTTTTAGCTGAAAACACATATGGAGGATTTGAAAAACATTGATTTTTGTGTTGCTAGCGAGTATTTGTTGTAAATTGTTCAATTTTCGACCAACAAACGCAAAGATTTGAAATCACTTATCGAAGATCCCCTAGAATTTACGATATTATAGTATATGGGTAGCTTTGTGCGCCAATTTAATGAATCGTGCTTTTCATTGTAAAATATTTTTTTTTGTTAACCCAGGACCGTAAAACTGCTCGTCAAAGATTTTTTCATAGAATGCATCAGTTGCATGATGTTTATAATTCTACCGCCGAATTCATAATTGAGGTTAAAGTGTTGATCGTGCAATTTTAATAGTTTGTCAGAGACCCTGTCTGTACCGCATTAACGTTGAATAACTAACTCTCTTACTAGTGAGGCGGATCAATCGAAAAGGAGGGCGTACGCTCATTACTGCTTCAATCAAGTTAGACGAAGGCTTCGAGCTTAAATGCGCGGGTTGAAGGGATCATTTCGTTTATCGAATAACTAAAATAATCTAAGAACGGTAGCGTTTGAAGCTTTCGATTATATATTTCCTGCTTATGCATGGAAATTTTTAGTTATCATTATCTAATCCACTCCTTCTTCTTTCACTTTGCACTCGGCTCATGCACTCCTTATATCGTTGTCGTTTATTGCTTTGATTTAAAGAAAAATGAAGAAATGACATTTAAAAATAACTTTTTCTACCTTTTCACACAAGACATCGGCACGAGTTGTGATGTCAACAAAAATTGAATGATTTTTTTTTTGCTATTGCTGCGAAATAGCACGATGGTGCCCACGATTGCATGATGAGTATGCTGTTAAAGTATTTTCAATTACATATTTGACAGTTAAACACTGTCAAGTTGATTTTTCCTCTTACTATATACTATCCATACATCTAGATATACATACAACAAATAGCAAATCAACGCTCATTTATTATCATCACCATCAATTGTTGTTGTTGTTGTTAGGCTGCTTGTCCATCTCTATTGGTCGACGCTAGTTATAGTGGCGGAGAAAAAACTTTTTAATTCACATCAAAAATTGCCATTAAAGTTGTAATTAAGTTGTAATGTAAAATGTTTGATGCGTTATATTGCACGGAAAGCAAATATAATAAAACTGTTTAAAATGTTGTCGCAAATGGGCAGAGACAAAGATGGTGAATGGATGCAGTTTATTATTCTTATTATTTATAATTTATTTAGAGCAAGAAAGAAATAAATTGTAGGACTAAAAGTACTGCAGATGCTGCACGCTAGCAAGTAAGACTTGCCTAATAGCCTTTCTTTTTTCTTTTTTTTTTTTTTTTTTTTTTTAAGGGATAGACTAGACGGTTAGTCCAGTCGCTTTAATAAGGTTAAATATTTATATTGGCATCAATTTCTCTAAATACTTTGGGAATCTTTGTAAGGCTTTGTCTATAAATGCAAATTGGGGAAGTAGTATATAGTGTGGAAGGGTTAATAAAAAGTTAGAGAACAAATTCTTCTCACGAAAAATGTTTCCTCTGTTATGGAAGATATTTCCCCCTAAGATCTTTCCTTCTAATTGTTCCATGGTTGCCTCTAAATCTGCATCTGACAGAAGACGCCGTTCATTTACAATTAGTAAAGCTTACAGGTTGAGAACAGAGAGGTGGGTGGGAATATCTAGAACGGATATAAATAAGCAAACTATGGCCACTTTAATCGGCTCTTTGGAATATAAATAGTTTTAATAATTGATTTGATATGGTGGACAAACTATCCACAACGATATATATATGCCATTAGTTTTCCCCGTCACAAACTTTCGAAAAGCCCAATTTACCTCTTGAAAAAGGCTTTTATTAAGTCAATGGCCAACAGCAAAATTCGTCCACTCTTCAATTCACTTTGATATTCGACAGAGGAAGGACTCCTACAAATGCTTAGGCGTCAAGGCTTCTTTACTTGACATAACTTCTTAAGAATTACAAGTCATTGAAATCCACGTTTTTATATAATATTTATACAAAGGTATATCAGTGAGCATGTATGAGCATTACACGAATTCTACTCGCGCTTAAAGAGACTGTACTGTAATGCAAATTGGAACTAAAGTATACAAAAGCGATTAGACTGATTAACATATATGTATAGGAACAATAAACAACCACAACAACAACGTATACAATGGATTCTGCAATTATAATTATCTCATGAAAGCTATTGAAT